ACAGCGCGTCACGGCGTATCCACAGCGGGGCGCGTCCAGCGCGGAACGGCCGGGAATAGCCGAGGCGGGCGCGCCACAGGGAACGTTAAAATCCAGGAGTTTGAGTCCGATCTGATTAAATTACACGGCTGACCGTGAAGCTGGAGTAAACTGCCGGTCTGAGTCGTACCTAGGAGACAGTCCTGCAGGCTGTTTTCTCTCATCCTTTTTAATCTAAATTGGTGTTCTGGGAATTGCGGAAGACACGAAGACTGCTCAGCAGGGCCCACGGGAAGCGTGTTAAAAATGCTCTGCAGGAGTCTTCGGTTGTCAGAAGGTAAAGCCCACCCAAAAACGTGGCTCAGATATATGAGACACTAACATGGACCAGATTAATCCCATATGAATAGGAAAAATAAAGAGGCAGTAGGTCAACTGTTGACTGTAACTGTTGCTAACTTGGCACTTCCCTAAGGAACTTGGGGCCAGAGACCAGAGGGTGTGTGACGCTCCTGCCCGGACTGCTAATTGGCCTAAGATAAGGAGAAATTCCCAGAGGTTGACGTGGGAGTGCACAGTTAGAAAGGCCGTTGGCAGTTTATACTGGCACTGTAGTTCACTACTGGCATTAGTTGCAAGCCAGCAGGAAGGGCACGTTCAGTTTAATCGGGCACCATGACTAAGCAGAGCAGGGAGTGCAACCACCAAGCACCGGAGCCGGGCCACCAGCCAGGACCTCACACACCAAGCGTGCACACTGCTGGTGAGAAACTGGTATCGACCCGCTATGCTCACCCTACTTAGTAAATCGATTTGCGATTATGTCACTAAGCGGTGTGATTGTGTTCTTGCAGCCATCCCACCCCTACCTTCACCTGTGCTACTAGTGCCATGAAAAACAAGAATACACAGTCACAGGAGGAGGCACGTATGAGTTATTTACACAGCTGCAAAATACAACTACCGTACCAGGAGATAACTGTGAAAAAGGAAACCAGTCGGTAGAGACAACTGAAGACTGTACTACTTGGTGCAGCAGAATCTGAAAAGGGATTTAATTCAACCAGAAGATATTTAGACACATTATCTATGCAGACTTATTTCAGCACAAGAAGAAGAAATGAGAGCATTCACGCGATTAATACCCCCACACAACTGGCTACAGGAGCTGTTGTCCCTATCCAAGGCCACTGTTGCTTGTTGCAATTGCTGCTGGAGGAGTCTTGCGTTGGTGTTGCTGCTTGGAAAAGCAGTGGTAATCATGAAAGCCTTCTTTCTGTATAAACACAAAGTTCAAGGACGAGTGAGGTGTTGAGCACAACTAAAGCATCACTCTCATTCAAAGCTGCAAGAACATTATTAACACAGGGCAAGAGTCCCAGTCCCGCCTGCTCCAACGGATCCTAAGAAGCAGCTCTGCAATTCAAGTGATAAGCAAGAAGCTGCAGCAAGAAAGTACCTGAGATGAGAGGAAAGGTAATGTCTAAAGGCATACCAGCTTCAAAATCTCCCACTACATCTGCTCTAACCCACCACGTGGTGCCCAGGCCCCTTACACCTCTTCAGTATGGCGCATACTCATGAGACTGTTTGCTAGTTAACCCCTTCAGAAAATTGACGAGATTCTTCTGTAGTTTCCCCTCCTTTGCCAGCTCTGTTCTACCCCTGCTTAGGGGCTGCCATCACCTATTGTTCCTCCTGCTACGACTCACATCCACACTTGAGCCCTTGAACTACATTCCCGCATTCTCATGTTCCCAGTATCTCAGTGCGAAGTCCCTTAACCTGTCACTACACAGAGCCTGTGTGCTTCACCTGGAATGTAAAGACAGCTGCATCCAGGCCAGCGTGCCCTACAGCACAGGCTATGTATTCTCTATCACATCTGCCTCTCCACACTTGTAAGAAACAGTTCTTTGAAAGTTCAACGTTTTCCATATACGTCTCCTGGCTCATGGCACACAGTAACAATTTATCCTACTTTAGATGATCCCATAGCTATCAATATGCCAGTCAGGCACTGCAGTAATCAGTCTGAATGTAGGTACCAAAGTCGAGACTGAGGTCTTCTCTCAGGCAGATCCCAAGCCTCAAGACAAGGATGGCTCCGTTTTGATGGTAGGTTGCACGTGCAGAGGAAGGTATACCGTACTAGCCAACCAAGCGCTCAGCAGCTGCCTCAACAGTTCTCTACTTCACCAAGCAGAGGTGAAGCTTCTGCTCACTTGAAAATAGTACGTCAGTGTTTTCCTCATGTAATTCTGACAGGAGAATCAACGTATTTTTTTCTTCCTGATCTCACGTCACGCTGTGTAGAATGAGTGTGTGTAGATTAGCAAAATACAGCACCAGGGACTACAAAAGGTAACCAAAAAGTCACAAGATTTTATTATAATCTAAAGCACAAAAGAAGTATGTTCTTCAGGTTCCTACCTCCTAAGTTTAAATATTCTTCACAGCACATATAACAAATTATTCCTAGTGCTATTAAAAGAAAAAGCATAAAGATCAAATTTTTTTCAGACAGACCCTTGTTCAAAGTGAAGTGTTAAAAAAAATACCAGGCTATAAAGAGGAGACATTATTAATAAAAACAAGAGTTCACCTCTTGGGAGCATGGCTGGAGGAAGAGAAGGAAGGATCTATTGTTAACATTGCAGTGGCTTCATAGACTAAGGAAGAAGTCTAAACATCAAGTAGCAGAAGCTCTTTATGCTTCCATAAAGAAGCTGTAAACATACTAAAGAAACAGAAAAAGCATACAGACTAGCTCTATGGTCATAGATCTGACCATAAATTTCTTCTTAAAACATGTCATCGTAAGGAAAAAGGATAATAGAAAAAACGTCCAGTGTTTTCTTCATACACATATTTACATTTAAAACTGTATTACTAAGCATTAATATGCTGATTTAAATCATCCATGCCAGCAAACTTGCTATAAGCTAGTCTTCCACTCTGCAAAAATCAAAGTTTCCATTTTTGAGATCTTAATGGGCCAAAAATCCAAATATAATGGCAATTCCTTATCAAACCTACCTGTGTGCAAATCCACCAAGAACACCAGCCTAAGAAGCCCAACATGCCGCCCGAGAGTGGTTTACCCCACGCCACAGAAATGACCAGTGCAGCTATGCCAGAACCAGTTACTACACGGTATTTATTCTATGCAGCAGTTCTAATACATACTGAGATAATGGATAGTGTATATATACAGGGAATGATCATTAACACACAGATTTTACATTATATTTACAAAAATTTAAATCCTCCAAGCTGCAACCACCTGACAGCATGAAAGAATACTGCTCCCAAATGCAGGGAGTTAACTGCATTCCAAGCTTTACAAAGTTCCCTGACAGAAATGTACATTTAAGAGACCGTATTTAGAAAAGGCGAACATGTCTGCATTTCTGATACTTCACACAGTCTTAGAACAGTGCAGGATTCCCCCCCCCCGCTTTTGCACATTAGGAGTGGCTGGCTAGAACATTGAAGAAGTGAAAAACTTCATCTTTATCCACTACTGCCACTTCAGTTGAGCATTCAGTACATAATACTGGATGATACACTTCCTCCTCTTCTTCATTTGATTGTATGGAGGTACAATCTTTGCTGTGCTTCATTTTCTTACTTCTTTTCTTTAGCTTCTTTCTGTATTTCAGAATTTCCTCTTTGTTAACAACGCAGTTCATCACAAACATTGCTCTATACTGTGTTTTGTAAGATTCATGCCTATGAAGAAGGGGAGAAAACGCAAATCACACCATTGGTAAAACCACTTGCAAGAAACCTGTTACCGTCACTGGAAACGGGATTATAGGTAGGAAGCACCATGCCAAAGGGCTGAAAGCCAAATCACAGAATCACACAATGTTAGGGATTGGAATAATGTGAAATAAATTGAAATAAATGTGAAGTTTTATAAACAGAACAAAAGTCACAACTACAAAAATAATAATAATAAAAAGGAATTGTAGCCATCTGTCTTTTTTTAAGGTGTTTTTAAAAACACACTGGTTCTTGCTGAAATAAACACCCGGGAGGAGTACGATGGTATTGGTACTACAGAATTAGGCATTGGTACGTATAGCTAATGATAGGCGAAAGATCATGAAATTGCGAGTGCAAATGACTCAACTACTGGCATTTATATCCTAAAATGTCTTGCAAGCCTGAAATTCCTTATTTATAAATAACAAACACTGACAGGTAAAACTGGAAAAAGCATGTCTGTAATAAAATATAAAATGTATTTTCAGCTGTCATGAGTGTAACAACTGTATACCTGGAGTATGCAGCAAAATTCGGGGCTGCAGTTCAATTCAATTCAATTCAATTCAACACAATGTCCCTCAGGCTGCAGCTTTACAGCAGCCTAAACCAACGCAAGTCCTGTCTCCCCTTCTGCTGGCTTTACTGCTTGTATACCACTGTGCTGAGCTATTTCAGTTAATTAAACCCACAAAAGACCAGTCCAACAATAAAAATGAACAGTGTTCTGTCAGCTTAGCAAACTGAAATACTGCACTATAGAACAGGGTCAAGGGGTACTAGAGCCAGCAAAGGGAGGAGAGTGAGAAACAGCACTCAGTACTTAGATGATTTTAGGCTGCTGTGGAATTTCATCCAAAAATACTCAAATAAATGAGAAGTAGTTTACTGCTCATTTCACAATATTTCTCTCTCCTTTACTCCCAGTTCAAGAGTGCTGTCCTTAGCAGGAGTTAGCAGTACTAACTCGGTTTGCAGTGCAGTCAGATGCTGGAAAGCTGCAAAACACACTATGAATTCTCACCTAAACGCTTTCCAGGCACTTTTAAATATAACTATACTCAAAACCACAACTGCTAAGACTCAAACCAAGTAAGAATACACTGTCTTGATTTTGCTTAATCCTCCCCTTTTACAAGGCACTTTTACACAAAAATAACCTGGAATAATTTTATGCCTCTAAACATCAAGCCAACATATTTAAAAAAAAAAAAAAAACAAACAAAAACAACAACAACAAAAAAAAAAAAAAACCAACCAGCCTGAACTGCCTGTTTACTCTCCATGAATTATTATCTTTTAAAAACAGTTTACCTTCTCTACTATGCTAAAGTTCTACCCTTTTCTTCTTCATCTCCATGTTGCAGGTTAAGGTGACCATCATTCTCACAAACTAGCGTTCACCCCTAAATCTGATTCACATATACCTGCCTTCTCTTCAGTAGCGTCACCTTGCAAGACAGAACTGATAAAATTGACTGATCAAATTTAATACGCTAAAAATAGTACTGACAAAAAAAAAGACATTTCAAAAAGACCCCTATTGATCACTAATTACCTCTGGCAGTCCAGGCATAACGTTGTCATGCAAGCAGGGCAATTCAAAACAGCATCGCTGTTTGGAACAGCTGAAGGTTTTGGCTGCTGCTGCTGCGGCACTCTTCTTTGATTACGGTACCTACCGAGGCAAGAAAGGAGGAAGGAGAGACAAAAAAGTGAAATTACGCACCCTTGCTGTCAGGCTTATCAATTCAACTGTCAAGCCTCTTTTATACTAAAACATACCAATTAATATTTGGGTCCTTCTGGACATCTTTTTTTTCAGTAACTCAAAGCACATAAATAAATAAACTGGGGGGAAAACCACATACCAGTATCTTTTAATTTACTTTGTACAGTAAATTTTAATTTGGTGAGAAAAATACATTCGGCATGAGAATTTGTGCCAAAAAACCTTTCCCTCTGATGAGGCAGGTATCTCAAGTGCAATCTCTGCAGGCAACATACATTAACATTATCCTTTTCAATAGATTTACATGGAGAATTTTACTTCCGCTGCAACAACTGTTTTTCTACTTAGACCTTCAAAAAACCCTCAGTAAAGCAGCTTTGTGCTGTTCCCATTTTATCTGAACATTCTGTGGCTTGCTAAATTCAAAGTTTTCCAAAACTAGAAATACAATATTTAGCAGGAACAGATATTAATTTAGCAAAGTATCTCGCAACCTCTTCATTCACAGCATGGTTATTCAGATGAGACCTACAGACAAAACTGCCTTAAAGAACTAAGAAGTCTTGATTTTAAAAAACTGCAAGTTTTAGAATAGTGTAATTTTGAAGACCCAACTTCCATTACATACACATAAAAATTTTACAGGCTTTTAAGTTTCATATGTTGTAAATTCTAAATAAAAAATATTTTCACTGCATGGACTTGACAGCATAGGCTTTTTCTCTATATTCACAATTTTCATTTAAATTTTTCAGTTTATGTTAAGTATTCTACAATTCAAATATTTATGGTTTCTTACCCCCTCCTCTGTGAGTCTACCCATGCTTGATCTCTGCTGTCTTCTTCTGGGTCATATAACAGCTCATCATTGGAAAGAATCCGACGTTGCTGTTGTTTTCTCCTTTTCCGGACATCCTGTGTAACTGGAAAGATTTATGCAAGCACATGTTACATCCACCACACATATGAGGATTCTCTACTTAAATAATCAAAATATCAGTTTTTCAGTTTTCCTTTTCCATACTCGCAATACATCTAAACTAAAACATAAAGGTCTAGCTCATTTCTCCCCCAAACACACCACCCTGAAGCATTAATGCACCTTACCTACAGTGGGATACTTCATAAACTTGCAGGAACTACACTGAGATGATACAGGCTGGTAATTCCCCCACAAAAGGCTGCCTTCAGGAACAGCCTCTTGACCCCTCCCCCTCCCAAGAGGATTCTATAGGATCTGAGAAAGAGAGGGCTACTGTAAAGATGTTCTCCTCTCCTCAGCCATTTACCCATTTTATCTTCATCCTCTGAATCAGAATCGAAGTAAATGTCATCATAGTATTTTGAAGTGGTGGCAGGTCCAGTACTTGAAGAAGTATCTGTGTGAAATTAGGGAGAGAAGCGGTAAGAACACCCTACCAAAGGGACAGCGAGTATACAGCCCAAAACAAACCTTCGTTTTCAACTTACTCTATCCAGAAGTGCTCTGCTTTATCTGGGTGTGTTAAGTAACAGCTCTCTCAACTTACTGCCACATCCTGACCATCCACATCGTTTATGTTATCTCATTTACAGTTGCTCTCTCAGAGCAAAGCGGCTCACTCCCTCTGAGATGAACCTCAGTTCAAAGGAAAGTTTCTCCCAAGGTACGCTCCCGTTAGGCATAGAGGACACCACATCAAATATGCCTGTCTCTGCCCTGTATAATGCACATGACCTTAGACACTCATACAGGTGTGGCACATTGTTTCACAAACTTTGATTACAATAAAATTCACTAAAAAAAATCCCCCAAAATTTCAGGGCCACAGAAGTTCAAAAAAGACCTAGATGAATTGCCAAGCACATCTGTCACAGCCAGTCTGCACCAAAACCTTTATTCTGTGCTGGATGGATGTGGTGATACAACTACTGCTACATCTTCCTAATTGCATAAAACCTACAGATCAGATTTGCC